GCAAGCTTCAGTTCAATGCTGTGGAGTCTTCAGTCTGAGAAACTCAGAGTCTATGCTATTCCTTGTCACAAGGAAAGAATAGCATGACTCGAAGTTTTCAAGAGACTGAGAGAGTACTTTCTTTTTAAGAACAGTTTTTATGGGTGAACTGACAAGTTTCCTGCTTCAGGGTCGGCTATCCCTCCACAATAAAAGGAGCCAGCTGAGGTGGTTCAGCCATTTGATTAAGATGCCTCCTGGGTGAGGTGTTTCGGGTATGCCCTCACAAGAGGAGGCCCTGGGTAGGCTCATGTCATATCCTGACATGACAGAGAGATTATGTCTCTCAACTGGCCTGAGAAAGCTGAGAGAGCCAGAGGAGGTGGACAAGGAGAGGAAGGGCTTCTCCACTCAGACTGCCACTGCCTAGAAAAGCAGCAGGAAATGGACAGACGGGTGGTTTGGTGGGTGCAACTGTGAGATTTCATGAGTGTGTTTACTTCAGACTTAACTTGTTAAGTGTTCTAGCCATTCACTTCACCCTATAATCCAGGGATGGCCAACTCCAGGCCTCAAGAGCTGGTGTCCTGCAGGTTTTAGATGCGTCCTTGGATGGCTAAATTACCTCCTCAACATGTCTTGAAGTTCTGGTAATGAACTAGTCATTTGATTCAGGTGTGTTGACCCAGGGTGATATCTAAAACATGCAGGACACCAGCCCTTGAGGCCTAGAGTTGGCCATCCCTGCTCTAATCTAAATGGGGCAATTTCTTGCCCTAACAGGTGAGACGAAAACACCAACCACAACATATAAAAACGAGTCAAACCAATGGGTGGTGTCAGTGTGGCTATGTTCTACTTCTTCTACTTGACACCAACTTAACCTGTACACACATCTACATTTTACCCTCAACTATTTCTCAGAGTCCACAGTAAAGCAGTCCCCAGTTTAAGTGCACTCCTCCTTGGACTTGACATCAAACTAAATGACTCTGAAAGATGCAAAACATCCCGTATAACAGAAATACCTCGTGAGTTGGACTCTTTCCATTACCTTTTTATTAAGAAATTAAGATAAACACTGAACACGTCACCTTTTATCCCCATAGTTCACCCCAGCAGCAAACTACCCAACTTAGAAAAGCTAAGCAAAGCCTCCTTCACAGAGGGAGGAAATCGAGTTAAATGCGCATTTATTTGGGTGAATAAAGCAGAGCATCATCTACCTGGGTGAGGCATGGTGATGGTGTCGTTAGTGTTGGTGGAGCCCACGTTAAAGATGACCACCGCAGAGGCGTTGTGGGCTGCAGCGTGGCGGATCTTGTCCTTGTAGGTGCAGTTGCCCCGGGCTATGAGCGCCACCCAGGCCCCGGTCTGAGCGGGCACCGCGAAGCGGGTGTTGGGGTC